AATGCCACTGAGCTGCTCAAATAGGGCTGCTTGCTGCCTGAACGTACCAGCCAGAGGGTTAACTCCACCATCTGGGAATGCTGGGGTGACGTGAGCTGCTGCTGAAGGGTTTGCAGCTCCTGCTTCTTGGAAAGAGATGTTCAGGCAGCTGCAGAGGGCTCTGGTTGGGGGGCAAACCTTCGAAAGCAGACCTGTCTGGTTGCCAGCATCTAGCCCGGTGGTGACAGGAGAAATCACTTGCAGATGACATTGTTTAGCCAGCAGACAGGGTGTGTGTTTGGCTGGTGCTGATGCTCCTCTGAAGTCCTGGATGTGGACCCAGGCGACCGACTCCACCGTGTCCATCTGACACCACCCGGATTGAGCAACCCAGGAAGGTTAGAACTGGACCCCCCTTCCTTTCCAGGCTCCTCTGGAGGAGAGGAGCCTGGGTGCAGCTGGGTCCAAAATTCCTGTATGTGTCTCCACTCAGACTGGGCAGCTCAGGGAGATTCAAACTGAACCCCCTTGCTTTGTAGACTCCTTCTCAGAGAGGACCCCGGGTGTGGCTGGGTCCAAAATCCTCCTCTCAGACCTGGTCTTTTCCCAGAGGGAGTAACTTTAATCTGCTGAAGGTGGATTCCTCCTGAACCTCCTCTCTCTCTGTCACCCGACCCTCTCTCCTGCTTTCCTTGGTGGGTTGCAGCTCTTCACCAAATGTGCCTTGTCTTTCCTTGTTTGACTCTGCAATTGGAAGGTGCAAAATGCCCAATGCACAGAGCTGGAGAGCTCTGATGCACCCCCTGCTCCCTCAGAGCTGTTCATGGATCAAAATTAGGCTGTCCTCCTCAGAATGGTCCTTCCAGATTGCCCACTGTCCTTTGGGACACATTTACTAAAAGGTAAAGACTTGACAGACTACATGAAAAAGCAGCATCTGCTCCACTCTTGTGAGATAGTCCCTGCAGGGCTGTGTCCACTTTTGGAGCCTCCAGCACAAGAAGGACCTGGAGATGTTGGAGTGAGTCCAGAGGAAGCCATGAAGATGCACAGAGGGCTGGAGCAGCTCTGCTCTGGAGCCAGGCTGGGAGAGTTGGGGTGTTCAGCCTGGAGAAGAGAAGGCTCCAGGGAGACCTTAGAGCACCTTCCAGTGCCTGAAGGGGCTCCAGGAAAGCTGGGGAGGGGCTTGGGACAAGGGCAGGGAGGGAGAGGACAAGGGGTAATGATTTCAAGCTGAAAGAGGGGAGATTTAGGTTAGATATTAGGAAGAAATTCTTTCCTGTGAGGGTGGTGAGAGCCTGGCCCAGGTTGCCCAGGGAAGCTGTGGCTGCCCCATCCCTGGCAGTGTTGAAGGGCAGGTTGGATGGGGCTTGGAGCAACCTGGGCTGGTGGGAGGTGTCCCTGCCCATGCAGGGGGGTTGGAACTAGTTGATCTTTAAGGTCCCTTCCAACCCAAACCAGATGGTGATTCTGTGGTTCCTTTACTTCTTCTGGGCAGTCCTGCTCCCATGCTGGCCTGGCAGCCCCTGCCCACCTCAGCCCCTGCTCCCTCTGCATCTTCCATGCATTTTGGAGTGCAGCTTTAAGTTGGGCTGTGCACACTTGTGCTCAGCAGCATGTCCACATGCTGGTCCCTAAAGCCACACCTTTCATCTCCATCACATCCCACTCAGCCACGTGGCAGCAAGGGAGCAATGTTCCCAGCATGCCCACCTTGTCCCTGCCCTGCCACATCAGTGGAGGTGTCCTTCATCAAGCCATGGGTGCCCAGCACAGTTCTCAGAAGTGCCACACATATGTGCCATGGAGAGGACATGTGTGGTGACACTGCCCTGGGCTAGCCTTGCACCTCATGCCTGGTGCCTTCTAGCATGTCACCCCACTGCCTGCAGGGCTATTGGCTCCTGTTTTCCCCTCCTGTTAGGTTTGGGGTTCAGTAGCTGCAGCAGTGATGCCATCTGAGTTGTCCATGTCCTGCCCAAGGGGTGTTGTGGCTTTCACACCCTGTCACCATCCCCTCACTAACCCCTCAACAGGCTTGACCTTGTGGAGAGGATGATGCAGGGTGGAAGAAGAAAGGGGGGACAGAGCAGGGGAGTGTAAGACCAGTCCCAAGACCAATGCAGAAGCTCCAGCACCATCCTGGTGGTGTGGCCACCTCAGTCCCAGGCAGGGGCTGCTCCTGCACACGTTTAGGCTTGCAGTGCTTGCCAGGGGGCTGTCCCCACAGCCACCACCATCTCTTCTCATCCCAGCAGGGTTGGGCTCTGCTTGGCCACTCTCCCCATTGCCCAACTCTTGCCTTGTCTCCTTCCCCATCCAGAAGCTGCCACGACGTCCTTAACCACCTTTGCTTTTCTCTCCTCACACCCTCCCCTGCCATTCCCCTCCGTGGTGCCTCCTCTCTGTCCGTGTCCTCGGCATCTCACCCCCCTTCCCTGCAGGAAAGCTGGCCTCATCCTCTCCCAGCTGGGGGACCTCAGCAGCTGGTGCCACAGCCTCCTGCAAGAGCCCAAGATTGGCCTCCAACGCTCGTCCCTCAAGTTCCTCGCCTGCCGCTACAGTGAGATCAAACCCTACGGGCTGGACTGGTCGGAGCTGGGCCGGGACCTGAGGAAGACGTGTGAGGAGCAGACTCTGAGCATCCTTTACAATGACTATGGGGACAAGGACTACTGAGGGTGGTGCAGCCCCAGCTCCCACGCCGCTCCCTCCACGGGGGTTTGTGGAGGGTTTTGTCTGCAGACTCCAGGGAGGGAGGGTGTTGCTGACGTTTCTGGAGGCAGAAGTTCCCATTTTGAGGAGCAAAACCAGCTGCTCTGTGCAAGAACTGAGTCAGTGTTAGTTTCTTCTTCGACTTAGCCAAAAAGCCTTTCTAGTTAGAAGTCTTGTGGGACCCAGTTTTCTTGGTTTTTGGTTCGTTTTTATTCATTTCGCCGAGAGGTTCCTCAGCTCATGGACCCGGTGGAGAGGGCAGGTTGGGAGGACACAGCCCCCTTCACCTGCCCTGACTGTGGGGACACTGGTCACTGGAGAAACACGGTGACACAGCCACGAAGAGAGAGCAGGTGATGCAGGCTGGGAGAAGAGGCAGGGCATGAAGGTTGGGGTTGTGATGCCGACGGGTACAGCTGAGCAAAACAGCCCCTGAGCAGCCAAGAGGACTTGGGTGGGTTTATTTTCACAGCTGTAAAGCAGGAGGTCTGGGTGAGACCTGCTTTAGGGCAGGGCTGGAGCAAGGAGAGAGGGGCTAGGTGACCCCATCTCCTCAGATTCTTCTGTGAGGGGCACAGCCCATGTTTGCCCCAAGATGCAGAGTCCTTCAGAATGAAGGCAGCTGGACACCTCGACCTTCTTGTAGGACCAAATTCCTAGGAAGTCGACTTCAAAATCTCTTCCATTATGTTTTTGGGGTTGTTTTTTTTTTTACCCTCCATAATGAAGACTTGGAGGCCATGTCAGAAGGCTGCTGAGGACAGCCCCAGCCAAGACAGCAGCACCCAGCCAGCTCAGCCAAGGCTGTCTCCTTCACTGGCCATCCTGCAGCTGTGGCTGCTCCCCCAGGTCCTGGCCCTGGAGAGGGCTCTGTGACATGGTGTGATGGGCAGGCACCTGGGGATGTTGCTTGCCTGTGCTCGGGCTGACATCTGCAGCTCTCACCATGACTCTTTATCAAAGCAGAGAACTGGGGTTGTCCTGGGACACTGGGCTCAGCTCAGAGCAAAGCCCTGTTACCACTGATGGTGCTGGAGGCAGCAAACAGCTTCTTTTTAACCTCAACTTCCAGCCTGGCTTGCAGAGGAGGCATCTCTGGACTTGCCAGCTGGGCACTTTTTGATCTGGACAAGCCAGGAGCCCTTCAATGTGATTTTTATGATGCCTCTTCAGAGAGAAATTTCCTTTTCCTTTTTTTTTTTTGTTTGTTGTTGGTTTGTTTTTTCCTCCCCCCCATCCTTGGCAGGAACAATCTTCAGCCTGTCTGTTATGATTTTCTGCCTCATTCCTCCTGCTACCTGCCAAGGACAAGGCTCCAACATGTGCAAGGTGATGAGGAGGAGGTAGCTGGGGTTGATAGTGCTCCAAAGCAGCTCAGAATCTTCCTGCAGGACCACACAGTGCTTTGTTCTTCCCTTCTTACAGGCATGTTTCTCCTCCAGGGACATCTTGCCTGGCCCAGGGAGCTGCTGGGACACATTTCTGTAACCAGTGTGTGTGGTTTAGGGGGTCTTCAGGCAAACGTTCCTTGCAAGAAGGATTGTCTGCTGGGTCCTTTGTGGCTTTTTATCACATTATTTTTGCATGTGAAAAAAAAATGAAGGCTGAGGGCTCAGACCAAGCCCAGTGCCATCTCCACGTGCAGGTAGGCATGGGCAGGTGATCTGTCCCTGGAAGTATTGAAGGGCAGGTTGGATGGGGCTTGGAACAACCTGATCTGGTGGGAGGTGTCCCTGCCCATGCAGGTGAGGTTGGAACTGGATGGTCTTTAAGGTCCCTTCCAACCCAAACCAGTCGGTGATTCTGATTCTATGATGTGGACTGTGCTGGTGATGATCCATACCTCCTTTTCACGTTAGCCACTGGCAGCCTTGGCCAAGGGGCTTTGGTTTATCCTTTTCCTTCTCCCAGCAGATGCTGAACTCAACTTCCAGCCAGGCAACCACCCAGGGATGAACACAGGGCACCTCCACCCAGCGCCTCGGAGCGATGCTTGGACAAGGGCTGCTCTAGCCCAGGCACAAGTTGGTTGCTCACCAAGTCCTACCACTGATGTGGCCTTTCTACAGAGCACAGACTGTTTTCCTGAGGGTACCAGACTCTCTCTTTTCCTGCTCACTGGGTGCAGCAGAAGGGATGGCAGCATTGCAGCCTTCCAGCCACTGTTGCCCAGAAAAACTTGGACACCCCACATGTTCACACCTACCTGGGTCACTTCTTTCATCCAGCCCCAAGATTTGCCCTGGGGCTCTGCAGATATTGTCATTCTGCTTCTGTGCTCACCATTTCAAAGCCTGGTCAAGCAAAACCCAGCTGGGCTGGACTCTGTTCCCCCAGCTTCCCCATGGCCTGGGAGATGGACCATTGGGAGGGTGAGGGGAAGGCCACCCATTCAAGGTCCTTTGGTGGCACCTTTGCACAGCTGGACAGGACTCAGTGTCCCCAGCAGTGACAGACCACACAGTGGGCTGGTGGGGCTCTGTTCCACATGGTTGATGGCCATGGTGTTGCTGCACCTGCTGTACTAGCAGGATCTGTGGTCACCATGACCCTGCCTTTCTGAAGGCTTCCCATCTAGATGCAACTCAGAATTTTGCCCAGACTTGGAATTTCTTGCCCAAATCCTTCAATGGAGGCATGAGCCCATCTCCAACAACTGCTCAGACTGGAGTAGGGGGTTGCACCAGACCTGGCCTTGGTGAGATGTGTTGCAAGGGGCTTGCTCACAGGTCATGGACCAGCCTGAGGTGTTCCCCTCCCTGCTGCAGGGTCCTGCTCTGGGCTCTGCCCAGTATTGTCTCTCTTAGTTTCTCCCATGCTGCCAATCACACAAAAGCTGGAGAAGACACCATTTTCCATCCATTTCTGCAACCCCTGCCCTCTCTTCTTTTTTAATTTCTAAATCAACGAGCACTCATTCACCTGAGATGAACCTCTGGGTAATTACATTTCCTTTCCTGCCCCTCTGTCCCCTGTTAATACCTTTTACCTGTCGTGGAGTTATTTAACATATAAAGATGTTTAAGTCCTTTTCTTTACGAAGATGGAGACACTTCATGTTCCTTGATGTTCTATTAAAACTCTAACGTGACGTTTTATTCCTGTAGATTGAAAGTAGGGTGCTTTGGGGTGAGAGGCAAGAAACACAAAACCCTTCCAGATTACATCAATGAATTAAAAAAGTTTAAAAAAAAAAGAGGTTTTAAACAACAGCAACAACCACAGGGAAAAAAAAAAAGAATCATTGTGACATTATGTAAAACTCCAGATGATAATTTAACCGACTATTAAATGGAGCTGTTAGTAATCTGTGGCTCTGGCAAACTGGAGTGTTTTGTTTGTAGTTTTGGTCCCCTTGATGGCATCTTTTTGGATTAAAACACTCCCAGCCTTGGAGCTCGGGTGCATCTTCACAGGAGTTGTTTTTTTTTAAAAAAAGAAATAAGTCCTTTTATTCCGTGTGGTTTTTAGTCTGCAAGGTGGGGTTTGGTGCTCAACCCCCTGCTGAGAACTTCCTGCTCCACCTGGCAGAGTTTTGAGGAGCCTGGTGGGTATTAATGGGTAGGAATGATGGGAACATCAGTGCCTGAGAAGAGGTGAGATCTGCCAAGGCAGCCTGTCAAGCCTCTTCAGGTGCAGGGCTGTGTCTGGTGGCCAGGCCATCAGCCCCTTGGCCAAGCCCTGCCAGATGGTGGGGAGACCTGGGACCATGGGAGATTTAGACACCCAAATCCATAGGAAACCAGGCTTCATGGAACAATTTCATTTTTTTAAATTTTTTATCCTTTTCCCCCCCCCTCTTCCCACTGCTAAATTGCAGGAAAATAAGCTAAAAATACACCTGATACTTTCCTCCTGCTATTTTTCCAAGCAGTTAAGTGCTGTGGCTGGCCCCAGCTC